TAAGTTGTATGGCATCAGACGTTTTTACTTGATTAAGTACCAGGTATATTACAACTGTAAGTTGTATTACTAATTTAGTTTCTTGATTTTTTCAAAACTGTACTCCCATAGTTTTTTCGTCATCACCATTTTGCTCACTTGTAACAATCTCATACACATGTTTTGTGTGGGAAGGAGGATGAAGATAGCTGTTTCTGGAATGTCGAAAATCAAAAACTATCTTCATTTTGTATTAACAAAACATAAATAGAACAGCAACTTACAAGTTATATTTACATGATGAAACTATAATTATTTCTGCATATTTATTAAACATTAGTAACATAGTGGCTAAAGCTTCTGGCTCTTGTTCAATAACTTTGATAGACAGAATCCAAAAAAACTGGTGTTAAAAAATCTGGTTATATGACTTGTAGGTCTTTTCTATAAAATGTTTTAGTGTGAAAGTAACCTTTGGTAAAAATATATATAATGTTTCTTGATTTGGTTTTCTCTTAGTGCAGTTCTTATGATATTGGTACAGTCGATCTGGTCTTTCATGAAAAAAAAATTTTTTTTTAATTTCAGAGTTGAAACGGCAAGTAAGATACGTTACAACTACTAAAATACAACGTTAGGTGGACAATAAAACTACATCACGGTATTTATAGAATTGACGCTGATAAAATACTCGATGTTTCAATCTTTTTTAACATTTCTTTGACTTCTAACATAACAAAATGTCTTTTTAACAAAGATACAAGTAATTCAAGTTGAAATTAATACTAGAGAAAGTAAAAAATAACCATATGTAAGAAGCTGAGTAAACTATTAAAAAAGTCTTACAGAATATCTGTACATATATTTAATTTTTTATATAAGATATCAAAAGTAGTTTGAAACATTGTTCAACAAAGAAGTAATGGAAATATTTAGCCATAAAATGAAACCAAAAGTAATTGTTAAATAACATATCAAAATCAATACTTACAAGTTATATGAAACAGCCTCTCCGTGTGGACTGCGCCATTCAGTTTCAGAAACAGTAGAGTTAACACGAACACTGTCATTTTCTAAAAGCAGACATTGAACTTTGAAGTCTGATCCTACTGTAAATCTTAAAGGGTTATCTTGTGGATAAATTTCCAGGTACACATGGGGAAAAACGGTTGTCCACAGCACTAGAGAATGTAGAGAAAAGGTCAATCTTTCTGTGACATGGATATCAGAATGGAAAAGGTTTCAATATGTGCACCACTTACTGTTTTCTACGAAAGCAATGACCTATAATTATTTATTATACATAACAGATATTGTCCAGAACTATAACTTATAAGATGTCCTATTTTATGGAATACTATGGTTACTCAAGCTGATACGAATGGCATGTCCTTCTAGTGACTCATTAGACCAACACAAGTAACATATCTTGCTCGTCAACGTACAAAATACCATCTAGAATCTAATCCACTGACCCCCAACCCACACAGGAGATTGATAGCTGATGGACAGCTTACCATTTACTGGATGAGTAATCTACCTGCACCTCAGTCTATCATGTACTTGGTGAGTTGTGGGTGCTGTGACACGAGAAGTTGCTAATGTCTTGCTTGCATCATATCCTGCAAACACACATGTAAATGTGGTAATCAACATATACACGAAGGTGGGACAGATCTTACTGATGGTGAAGTTGATAGAGTAAAGATATTTGAGTACTACATCATTGCAATGTGTTAATCATTGTAAAATGGTGTCACAGTTCTTAGTGATGATGCAGATGATAGTGAGTGAAGATGACTGAGAACTAGATATTGCAATGTCTTAATCAATGTGTAAACAATGATGTCAAAGTTCTTCCTGACGATGAAGCTACAGAAAGTGTACTACATCACTACTAGACCAACACAATTTGTTGTAAGTAATATTAAGTGATTTTTTAGTTTTGTATCAAAATGCTGTGGTTTCCTTATTAGCGCAAAGCTACACAATGGGCTATTTACGCTTTGTCCATTGTGGAGAATTGAATCCCATGTTTTATTGTTAACGTTGTAAACTTACTGCTGACACACCGGAGGACAAAATTATACGTGTACAGGAATATGCGACACGTGCTTTATTTCAAATACAAACTAATATAAAAAGTATAAAAGACAGAATTTAAATTTAAACTGTTTTTGATAGAGAAGGTATCCCTTTATTAAATACACCAGTGGCTCAGTGGTAAGTCTCAGATCCCATAATGCTAAAAACCAGGTTTCGATACCTATAGTGGGCACAGTAAAGATAACTCATTGTGTAGCTTTGTGCTTAACGACAAACAAACAAAACTCTTTATTAATTAGATGTAAATATTAATATTAAGTTTCTCTCATAAAAACTGCAGTGAGCCATCTCGGATAGTCAGGAATGATTGCACACCATATGGTTTTAGGTCGCTCCGTTTCCAATTTAAACTGACAATTGGTCATGGCATAAAGAGGCATATTGTTAATCAGAAGATTGATCTCTATCAATTAAGACCAAAAATTTTAAAAAATGGAGGGGAGGTGCAGCTAACTCGAGAAATAGATCTCATATACGATGTGGGCTGTGGATTATCCAGGAATAGCAGTTGTACTTCATGTGGCATGTGGATTATCCAGGAATAGCATATGTACTTCCTGTGGCATGTGGATTATCCAGGAATAGCAGTTGTACTTCATGTGGCATGTGGATTATCCAGGAATAGCAGTTGTACTTCATGTGGCATAAACAACATATGTACTTCATGTGGCATGTGGATTAACCAGGAAAAGCAGTTGTACTTCATGTGATATGTGGATTATCCAGGAATAGCAGTTGTACTTCATGTGGCATGTGGATTATCCAAGAATAACATATGTACTTCATGTGGCCTGTGGATTATCCATAAACAACATATGTACTTCATGTGGCATGTGGATTATCCAGGATAACATATGTACTTCCTGTGGCATGTGGATCATCCATAAACAACATATGTACTTCATGTGGCATGTGGATTATCCAGGATAACATATGTACTTCCTGTGGCATGTGGACTAACCAGGATAACATATGTACTTCATGTGGCATGTGGATTATCCAGGATAACATATGTACTTCATGTGGCATGTGGACTAACCAGGATAACATATGTACTTTATATCATAAAGTTAGGTTTGAGAAATGATAACAGTACCTGAGTGGTACTTGAATGATTTTCAGAATGTATATAATAGGGTTTAGATTATATTTGAAAATTAAAAAAAGTCCTTCTTACAGGAGTAAACCAAATGTTTTATTTTTATACGACCTCTAAAACGTCGACTTTCAGGGTAAACTATGAATATTAGAAAATAAATAAATGTACAATGATTATTGGCCTGATCACATTTATTGAAGAAATAGACCTATGTATATATATATGTAGTTAACGCAAGTATTTCAGTGATAATTATAGTGACATCAAATAAAGAAATAAGAATGAGACTAACAAAAGATCAGATTTTTAGAATTGTTTATACTTCCAGAGCAGCTACAATATGTAGATAAATTAAAACTCTTACAAAATAAATATTTCCTGTAGTAACCTACAAGTATGAATTTCACTTATATCACGCTGTTAGAGAACGCTCTAAAGGTTTAAAACGAAAAGGGGTAAAAACATATTTGATAAGATAAACAGAAATCATAAGAAATAATCTTAAAAGTGTACACAACAATACTTACTTATACTAAAGTACTTTAGATATGTCTCACTGTGTTTTTATTGGCATGTTTTCCGACTTACAAAGAGTGCTTCGTTGTGGAAATAAAAAAAATCACGTTATCTTAAGATGTCACATAATCCGTTAAAAGCTGTTTCTCTCTCCTACCTTCTCAGCTTACCAATCTGTCTTCTATATTTTAATTCTTACGCCTTTAGTTATTAAGATACACAATTCTACTGTCATCCCACACATATTATTTAAAATTTTCAAATACCTTGGCGCTAGTTGTGCTTCTAAAGATTGTTTTTTTTTTTCTTTGCTCTTTCAATATCATTTATAAGTCTCTCATGATGTATTTAAATATTCTTATTAAGGTCTATTGTCCTTTTCATACAAAGTGTGGCTAATTTTTTTTCTTTCCGAGATTTGTAGCTCTTTTACACATTGGTTATAAGTCTATTACAATACGTAAAAACGTTCTTGCTGTAATCTCTTGTTTTTCTGACTCCCATACAATATTTCTAAGGCTCGTGCAGTGCCACAAGTATGTTGCTTCTCTGACACACTACACAGTTTCTGTTGATCGCGTAGAGATGACTGAAGTGTTTTCAAAATTGGTATAACTATATTATATATTAATATATATGTATATTCAATTCATTTCAACACAAACACAGATATCCTTTTAATAAGTTATTTTTGTCCCTAATATTGGATATCGTGGAAAAATTACGTTTCCAATAAGTTTTAAATTTATAATGAAGAACAAAATTAGAAGTATCGATATATTGCACTAGGTTTTGCTTCATAGTAAGTGTTATGATATTACTCTCATATATATCAACTTCAGTTTAATGTGGCTGTAAAATAACTGTATGTGTTTACGTTCGTATCCTGTGCGAAAGACACACTGGTTAACAATCGTGACAAACTGCGCAAAGAAAATCTTTCTTATTTTACTCTTTCGATATATTTAATAAAACTGGACAAATTATACATACGTTTAATTGTAACGTTATTGTACATTTACCAGACTTACGAAAGATTTTTGTGTTTGTTTCAGAATTTTTCGTAAAGCTACACAAAGGCCACACTCACCCCTCATTTTGAAGTTATAGACTAGAGGAAAGGCAGCTAGTTAACAGCACGTACCGCCAACTCTTGTTCTACTCTTGTCTGAACGAATAGTGAGATGTGAACGTTACTCTTATAGCGCACTCACGCCCACAAATTGCATAATGCGTTTTTGTGGCAAGGGGCCGCGAACACTCGGATTCACAGTACGAGCACGGGGAGGTCCACGAATGTTGGAGATGCCTTTTCGCTAGCATATAAGCCTGGCAGTGAAAAGCCAGCAGGAAGAAGCAAACAGTAGTTATGGTGAGTTCTGTGTAATTTATGATTCAAATAGTCTTGAACTAGTGAGCCGTAAAATATGTGTTTTGCACTCGAAGAGAGCGAAGTTATCGAGGTTGTGAATCGCTGTAATTTATAGCATATATTATAAAAGTTGTTAAGTTAAAAGTGACGAGAAACGTACTGACTGTGGAATTACTGTGTACTAAAAGTTTGTATGGAGAAATAATAAACTGGCTTCATCAAGAAAGGACTTGTATCGCTGAAGTTCCTTGGAAAGAATTTCTACCGGAAATTAACAAACAAGCAGATACGTAAAAGATATGTAAATAAATCGCTTATTCAACAAATAATCATCCACTAAACTCCAAAATGTAATTTATTGTAAAGTATGTACGCTGTAAACCACGTGAAAAATGTAACTGTAAATTATTAATTTGTTTTACTTTAGGTAGTGGTCACCTTGAAAATATTACATCTGTATTATTAAATAAACTTGATACTAAACTACACTTAAAATAATCATTAATTCATATGCTATATATATAAATATTCCTTATAGAACATATGTTACTTACTCATGAAAGCTGTAAGAAAAAAGGTGACTGCGCTTTGGGTCATCTTGCACTGCTTCGGTAAGTAGCTTTATGTACATTAAAGTGTTGCCAATTCGAAAGAAAGAAATACCTCACATGGCATTCTCAGTTACTGTTATCTGTAGCGAATCAGTATCAGTTATAAATGCTCTATGCTCCTTGTCACTATTTACACTTCGTTCACGTTAGTGACATGAATAGAAGGGGCAAGCGATTGGATAACGTTTTTCTTGTAGTTTCGATAAATGTTATTATGATCAAAGATAGATCATAGTGGATGTAGAATATAGAAACCAGTTGACAGTAAAATATATTAAAAACATTAGGAACTAAAACAATAGATAATAAAAAGAATTATTGGAAAGGAATTGTTGTATTGTTTAAATTACCATATTTGTGCTTTACGTCGATAGGTGTAGCTGTATTTCTTATTCATATTAACTTAAGTCCTGTTTAATTGGTAACAAAAATAGATCGACATGATAAATTAAGACTTTGATCTTGCAATGCCTGTTTATCAGTAAATATTATTGTCTATCTACATCAAGGTAAATTTAAAAAAGGGACATAAAAACGTTTAATCTTGTGTGAAGAGGTTGGGATTACGACCGTTTATAGTGGTTCAACAAGCACATGGTGCTATTATATTAAAAGAAAAAAAACCCACAAAAATGCAACGTTTTTTGGCACATTAAAAAGTAAAATCTTTATTATAGGTTGCAGTATGTATGTATGTTTGGATGGATATATAAATCAAGAAATACAATGCTATGTAATACATTAATTGTTCATAGGCGATTAAAATCAGCACTATAAAACACTAATGAACTTAATATGTACCAGAAACAATATAATAAAATTGAAATTCAAAATCACACCTGCCTCCGCTACCATTACTTGCTGTCGTCATTAAGTCTTAAGAATAATATTAGCCTGTGGTCATAGCAGACAAAATCCAAACGCCGATGAAAACCTTGCCAGCAACTAAGGATAGTCAGTTTGGGGTAAGGAGTTGAACATATTAGAACTGCATACAGTTGAAAAACTAGAGTTTAATGAGACTTTACAAATGTGAAATAGATCAAATGATATAACGCGTTTGTAACAAGTTTTTTTTATTCAGGTTCGTATGTTACTATTTATTTTCTGCAGCGTCTGGCTATATCTTATGAATAAGGTAGAATTACTGCCTCACTAGTACTAGTGAAGAAAAAAACCTAGAATTTGCGGTATTAAAATTCACATCCATGTCGTAAGGTTTAGCGTAAAGTTAACCTAGAATAACGTCTGGTATTAGGTGTGTTGCTTAGACTGAAAATTATAAAGATTTTTTTTTATCATCATATTCAGCTAGTTGTATGGATGAACTTACTTCTATGTAATATATATATATATCAAAAGTTCTGTTTGTATGGTTAAAGAACATAGGTTGCGCCAATACTTAACTTGAAATTAACAGCTGAAAGCAATTAACCAATATGACTGCAACTTGTGCTGCTCCCTAAAACGAAACAATTTTTAACAACATTTTCTTGTGAATGTTTTAAACCTTAGTAAAGCATATATTCATTGGATAATCATATAATTGTGATGGCGTGGTTTTCGTCTTAGAAACTCTCGTCTGACATGAATTACAGTAAGTCCGAAGCTGGTTGGAGGGAGAACAAACAACAATGAGAAGAACTATGCTTTGTTGTTGCTTCAACACGCTGTTCTTGAGTGACCCTCAGCACAGCGGAAAATGTACAAAATAAATTAACACAATTCTAAAAACTCTTTATACCGTCGTACTTTTGCACCCTTTTTTCCGTCACCAATTTTTGATTTTTCCACCATACCCCTTACTTCTGTAATTTCAACTTAACGACAGAAGAACTAGAGCAATAAATATTGTACCATATTTTTGCGACCATCGAAAATTAAGTACAACAGGATGAACATCTGGAAAAAATATGTCGTGTTGATAATCTCGTTTCCAATTATTATGTCACAACTCAATACGCTGGGATAGTCCAATGTCCAGGCATATGCGATAAGACATAAAACAGGCTAGTTGAGAAACAACAAACTAATATTACAAACCATTTAGTGATATGAAAGAAACAGTTTTGTGTTTTGTTATAAAGAAAATGTTGCAGAGGAATACTATGTAGTTTACTACAGTAGGCACGATGATGACCTAGAGTACAAAAAATCCCCAGTATCATGAAACACAATATTTAAGGCAGCATTACTTTATTCTATTACTTAGTAGAGTAATGAACAGGATTTAAGGCAGCATTACTTTATTCTATAACTTAGTAGAGTAATGAACAGGATTTAAGGCAGCATTACTTTATTCTATTACTTAGTAGAATAATGAACAGGATTTAAGGCAGCATTACTTTATTCTATTACTTAGTAGAGTAATGAACAGGATTTAAGGCAGCATTACTTTATTCTATTACTTAGTAGAGTAATGAACAGGATTTAAGGCAGCATTACTTTATTCTATTACTTAATAGGGTAATGAACAGTATTTAAGGCAGCATTACTTTATTCCATATGTAACGAAAGAATGTCTCTCTAAATGCAAAACAAATTCAAATGAGAATACCAAATATAAAATATAATTTAGAATATATCAAGTTTATGCAAAATATACACTCACCCAAGAAAGTGTTTGAGACTCTACTAACCTTGACTCTGCCAGCAGAGCTTCCAGTGTTGCTGTCGTCTTTCAATTGGTGACCATGGATGCCTTAAGGTCTGCTTGGGTTCTGACTGCTCAGATTCAGGTAGCCTGTCCTGCAGATGTCAGACTTCCTCCTCGCATCTCAACATAGTAGTGGTTCTTCACCTCACCCAATATTTTTCCCAGACATAGAGGTCTCTGTTCATTTGGCTGCCATCTTCTCCCAATGGTATTTGAGTGCTAGAATATCATAATCACTTTTAATTAATATAATGGGAAGTATTCAAACACCTCTCGTGGTCTCTATGCTGGTGGTGCCTCAGAGACAAAAGTGGCATATGTTCTACTCTACCTTCTGGTATTTTCAGTCTTTAAAGTTGAAGCTCCCTCGTTGTCGTCAGGAACAATTAGATGAGCTATCTGGTTTGTCAGAACCACCGTCACTCTGGTGTTTATTACTAGTGTTAAAGTCTTTGTTGAGCCCATCCAGCCTCCAACTTCCTTCGACCTGGACTTTCCTTGAGTCATACCTAGCACTGGAAGGTTCTTCTTGGGCTTAAAATGCAGTGATCTCATTCAAGATGCAAATACATCTATCATTTTATCCTCGCAGGTGTGCCACACCTCCACAATGGAGCAACTCACCAGACATTTCTTTTTTTTTGTCTTGACCTTCGTGGGTAACATCAATAACGGTACTAACTCCTGCTGCTGGGCTGCTTGGAGGCTTTGTTCCTCCTGATGAAATGGTATCTACTCCAATGGTGTAATGCTATGGACTTCCCTGGATTTACCAGCAGCATCAGAGTCTTCATTGGCCATTGGAAACAGCTTGGTTCTTGGAGACATCAATACTAATCCATTGACTGATTCAGCAAGCTCCCTAAAGTAAGATGTATTGGCATGCAATGCTTCTTCATCAAAACGCACGCTAATGGTAAAAGTTAACCTGACACTCTCTATCTGTTCAATGACTTCACATACCTCACTTTAAAGAAAATCATGTGTCTTCTGAAGCAGCAGTGAGGCTTCAAAGGCTGTAGAGGAATCCATTCTAAATCATGGTCTCAGGCAAAGAGATCGGAAACAGGATTGGAACACTGGAACAAATCAGTTGAAGCTCAAAGTTAGAGACTGGGTATAGCTTGAGCTTCACCTTAAATACCGAGAGTCCAATCATATGCAAAGGTTGACCAAGTTCTAAGTGATCAAAGGTTCAGCTGAGTAAATATCTTAAAGGGGTTGTAACACTCAGTTACGACCAAGAATTAAATACTTATCGAATGGCACACATACATGTACTCATGCCAATGATTGTCCATATAACTTGAGGACCTCCTAACTTCCTAGTTTCCCTTGGTTTGTATTCAATCAGCTAGCTGAGCCATGTTGCCCCTGCCAAACAACAGGAACATACACATCAAACTCTTCAACCGAACCATATCCCTTTCCTACAATATGGTTGTCATGTAGCCAGAGCAGGAATGAATGGGGTTTGAGGCTGCTTGGATTCTACACAGTCGAGGTACTGCTAATCTTACCTTTGACAAGTAATCTTTGCCAATTCTTACATTATCTTTCCTTAGGAACTTTCTTCCACTTACAAATTAAATAACCAGGAACATATTTAATAACTGTTCCTTTGTAAGTGATCAAACTTCTATTCCAATTAGTTGAAAGCTTTATCTTGGATTTCTGTTGTCGTTACAGTTTAATAAATTGTATTTTCTTTGACCCTGGTTGTAACTGCTTTTTGTCTTACTCCATTAGAAAGTTTTCGCACATTAATTATTTGATAACATAATGTTGTGCATCTGCTCGTTTGATAATTTCCGGTATAAATTCTTTCCGAGGAACTTCAGCGATACAAGTCCTTTCTTAATTAAAACTAGTTTATTCTTTCTTGGTACAACTTTGTAATACACAGACTTTCCACTGTTACTTTAAACTTAACAACCTTTATAACACAAGCTATAAATCACAGTGATTCACACATTTTACTTACTGTGTCTACTGTTCGCCTGACTCAATTATCTATCTCTTCAATCTATCTGCATGTCTCTTCAGTCTATCTTCCGATCGCGCTGATTTTACTCGTCGGGCTTATATATTAAAAAGAGGGCGTCTCGAATGCACTCGAGGCTTCATGATCCTTCTAGAAACTCCAGCGTGCATGCTTCCAGCGTCGCGTGACTTCCGCTGTCATAACAATAATATATAACGTTTTGGGACAACATGGGACCTATTGATCCATCTCGGCTGTTCCATCCTCTAAACTAAACTATGAATAATTTATTTAATTAAATTCTTAAAATCATCCATTATTATTCATATACTTATCAAGCTTTCTCTTAGACTCTCTTAAATTTACTGCCTCCACAACATCCGAAGGCAGTCCATTCCAAAGACCAACCATACTGTTAGAAAAATAAATCTGCCAAAATTTATATTTGTGTCCCTTAGTCATACTATTTTCACTGTTAAGTATGAAAAAAGATGATGCATCAACACTATCAATTCCCTTTACAATCTTAAACACCTCAACCAGATTCCTACCCTAACTATTCTTTTTTCAAGAGGAAAGTTTTTGAGAGATTTCAACTTCTCCTCGAATGACAACCCCCCCTCCATCCCAGGCACCATTCAAGTAACCCTTCTCTAAACCATTTTCAAGAATGCAATGTCTTTCCTAAGGAGCTCATGACTGAACACAATATTCCAAATGTGGCCTAACCAGTGACCTATACAATGAAATTATAACTTCTTTAGACTTGTATTCAATATTTCTGTAGATACAACATAAAATCCTATTTGCCCTAGTAACAGCACACTGCTTGGGTGGCTTTTCAATAAGTGTAATAACATATCTATTCTCCATTACAATGAATGTCAGTAATTTCTGAGTATTGTTTAATAAAACAAAACTTTTGTATGTTCTAGATGTCTTGAACTTATTGTTAATATATCGCTTCATTGAAACAGAAAGATTTTGTTTTTTATTAATGCAAATCGTTTTCACAAGACTGATAGAGGGCACAGTTAGTTATCATGGCGGGAGAAGTGGTTGTTGATGCTCTTCCTTATATTGATCAAGGATATGATGATCCAGGAGTTCGAGAAGCGGTATTTTAAAATTGAATATTCTAATTAATTGTAAATTCACATTTAACGTTAAGTAATTCAAGCTGAATATGATTCATATTTGATATGAATTAGAAGTAATCTGTAAATGCAAGTTGTAATGCAGTACCACAACTTGTACTACTATTACTAAGTTTTTGTAGTACTATTAGTATTACTCACTACTACTGAATTTTAAAGAGCGAAAATAGCAACAACAAAATCACATAATTAGATTCTATAGTGAAAAAATAGTAGATTTACATTGAAGTTTTAATCATTTATTTAATAAGTAATGAAAACAATTAATAATCGTACTTGTAAATTGACCTTTTAATTGAAACAGTCCAAACAAAACTGCTTTACGTGGTAACTTGAGACATTGCATGAAACTTGTGACAAAGTGAGATAAAATGTAACCCTTTTAAGATGCTTCGATTTAAAACCAGTACTCGTAATTTATATTATATGATAAATGAAATGGAATTTGGAAACTGTCAACAACCAAATGTTAAACACCAATTATACCTATTTACATAATAAATTAAAAGAGAGATTTTGTATTTTCATTTATTTCAAAACTGAATACCATAATTGATAGATGCATACATGTTATGTAAACTGTTGTCAAGCCAGCATATTGTCTGCATACAGTTCCAATTCATTTTTGTACATGCTTTCAGTTGGAATTGTGCAGATATATATATTAATTATCAAAAAAGGACCACAAAGTTTATTGTATGGCTTTGTTTTTTCGAAGTAAATGACCAATAGGTATTTATTAATGACTTTAAAGTTTTGTTTGTATCTTTTGCAATACAAAATGCTTCTGGATACAAAAAACAATCAGTTCAATGAAGAGCTATTGTTTAATATATCACTGCCTTATTTGTCAAGTAGTAGTAGTAGTAGGCTGATGATATATGTTTACAAAAGCTAAATTTTTTTCCATGCATAGCAATAAAAGCAAATAATTATATTATTCTGCTTTTGGAAACCAGGCAGGGTAAAATGTAATTTGTTAATGTTAGTGAAATGTTCTACTGGACAAACAAAATATTAAGTCAGGGTCGCATCTTACAACATCATGTAATGATATATAAATCATTAAATGTTTAAACTTAGTATTTTGGTTACATCCTCTTTCAGTTGCTTGTTGGGTGCAGCAGTTGTCTTTGAATCTGAATTAATTTCATATTTTGAGTTTCACTAAACAATTATATCCTATCTGCAAACTTGCCATAGGAGTTGAATTTTCACCCAGCTGATTGGTGATCATTTTTACCATAAGGATTGGCCTACCAATACCACAAAAATTAGTAAATTCATGTCTGTGTTAATGAGAATAAGGGCCTGGCATGGCTTGGTGGTTAGGGCACTTGACTCGCAGTGGGTCACAAGTTTGAATCCCCATCACTGAACAAGCTCATCCTTTCAACGTTACAGTCAATCCCACTATTCATTGGTGAAAGAGTAGCCCAAGTGTTGGTGATGGGTTGTGTTGACAAGCTGTCTTCCCTGTAGTCTATCACTATTAAATTAGGGATGACTAGTACAGATAACCCCATGTAGCTTTGCACGAAATTCAAAACAAACCAAAATAACATGATTAATTACCACTATTTAAAACTAAGCATGTGTTGTGAATCAGTGATGACCTTTAATCATCAAAAGGGGTTAAAAGTTCATTGCTCTATTCACAGAATTTTTCAAAGCCTTTATAACTAATTACAGTATATATAAAATACAAGAAATTTAAGTATATAAAAAGTTTATAAGTTTATATTTTCACTTGTGTTTAGTAACATAATAACATGACATGACTTAAATAAAATTGATAAAAATTACAGTTCACTAACTTACCAATTTTATACCATAACAGTTGTTTTTCATAATATAAATAACATCTTAACTATTTCAATGTCTTTCATATCCCCCACTGGGCTGATGAGCCCTGGAATTGAATGAAAGTCCTCATGGGCAATGGATATATCAGATATGGTGTAGTTGAAATACTGTGAAACATTCATCACTACTATGGATAATTCATTTCCAGAATTACTAATTTAGACTCAGCCCTTTGGTACTGTGGTTGCTTGACCCATTCTGGTAAAAAGTAGACTAAGTTGTGGGTTTGCTCATTTTTTTGAGTGATGAGTAAGTTAAAGTAAAAATAAAGTAATAATAAATAATTGGTGTTAAAATACATTAATAATAATGTTTTATTAATCTTTACCTAATTCTGACTTGTAAATTACGTAAGTGAAATTGATAAAAATTATACTTTAGCAACTCATTCTAGTTCACACCACAATGGTTATTGTTCATGAAATTTGATAATGTAAATGTCACCACTACTATGACATTTCCCACTGGTCTGATAAGCTCTGGTATTGGGCAAAAGGCTTCACTGGCACTGGATATAGCAAATATAGTATTGTTGATATATTGTTATACTTTCAACTATAAGTTCTTAGAAATGCATACATTAAGTGATCATTTGTATTTTAAAGGCCATCCTTTCACACTCACCCTTTAGGAAAGAAATATTTCAACATAACCTTTATTTTTAAAGAACTCGTATATGTCCCTTCTAAACTGTTATAAAGTGCCAGTTTCCACTATTGGTGATGGATGTTCATTCAGTTTGCCAAGCATTGTGTTAGTAAATAAAACTGTGTCCTTGTACCATTGTTGAGATTCACAGGCTACAGGAACCAAAGCATATATAGAGAACATATATATATTATATTTTAATAAGGACTGTTGGAGCAATGGGCTGTTCATTTTTTATTGACAGAATTTTATAGTACCTAGGTATAATGAACCATAGTAGTGGTTTATAATAGGGAATCACCTATTTGTTCTTCTCTATTATTATTTAATATTTTCCTGCCAGCCTACAACAAAATGACTGTTGGTATTGTAATAAAACCTTGGCTATATTACTAAATGCATCATTGTGCATTGTAGTTTTTAAGTTTATTTGACTACCAAGCAAGTAACAATGGCTGTATAACCATTGACACCCAATCATTTTCATGTAGTCTGTGGTTTATATGGAGCCTCATAATCTAATATACATGGATTGGGAGTATCAAGGCTAGTGGTGAGTGAAAATTGTGCATATAGAGGTAAGTATCTATTGGAAATACATTTTCAGGACCTCAGTACCTCATCTTTGGGCTCTGGCAATAGCTGCTTTCTGTCTGGACAGGATGGGATTACCACTAAACTTTCTCCCCACTTCATATGTTACCCAGGGTAAGAAATATGATTTGTTCCAACCCATTGTCAGATCCTGTTGATAGCACCAGATTGGCTGCTACACCCAGGTTTCTGCTTGTGCAGTCTCTTCTGGTGTGAATAGATCTTCCACTTCTTTTTTAGGCTCTTGCTGTGGAGGCAGCTAGGATCTGATATGTTTCATTTCGCTATCCAGAAGCTCAAGCTTCTGGCATAGAGGTTATTCTGTCTTTCATACAGTATTGGGGTTTATTTTCTAAGGTTTATTTGTATCTGTATTAGTTTATGCTTTGTCAAAAACACTTTTATCAACGATAATGACATGCATATTGGCAATGTTGTATTGTGAGGAGGTTGAACCATTTTCAATCAATGGTGTCAACTATAACTCATTTTTTGACTTGGCTCTCTGACAGAGGATTTTGCATTTTCCACAATCGCCAATGTTTATGACAGCTTTATTGACTACCATTCAATTATCGCATCTACATATTTTTTGTGCCCCCAGTACTCTCCAGATTTCTCACATTGTTTTGGGTAATTGGCCCCAAATGACCATTTTAGATACCTACCAGGTAGATTAAGGTTACATCTTCTTTCTCTACACCTGTTGATGACCTGACTCTTATATGCCATGCAGCATGTAGCTGCTGACCTGTGGACATCACCAGTTGGAGTGATTTGTGCTGCTTGTCCACATACCATTTTCTCATTCTCTCTCTACACCCTCAGACCAACACATTGTCAGATGGGAAATGGGTTCAATCCTTTACTCCAATTCATCTGCTCACTCTTTCTTTCTATGCCCCATCAGATTTCAATTTTGGTCATGTTCAGTGATGGTCTTAAAGGTTTTGTTGCTTATACCCTTAGAGATACTACACAACTCTTTTTTATTATGGGATCTCTTTGAAGGTGAGATATTTTCTGTGAGTCACATCTAATCAGATTTCTCTTTTCTGTGTTCTTAGCAGCCCAGTCGAATTGCGTGCTGGAGGTCATTGTGCAGACTGGTATGTTCACCTCCCCCAAATAACTTTATTTGCCTGATCTGGCAGTCTCTTCCTCTGAGGGTTTTTGCCTACCCCCTGTAGAAATCTTAACCAATTCTGCTTGATTATCCAGAGGGGTGAGTATATTTATTTATACCTTTCTACAGTGGCGAGTGTTGCCCAGACAGGTGTGCTTTTATTGCACTAATAATCAGTATTTCACTTTAATTACTACTGGTTGCAACAGGCTCTGTAGAAATGAGATGTTCCATAAGACCACCTAGGAGCTCACCAGGTGGAATTACCATATCATGCTGGACTGCCACTCATGGACTAACATGAGTACAGCTAAAGCGGATCCTGCCCATTCCTGCTGATCATTGGATTGAATAAATCAGGGTCAGTTTGCTTTTAAAAATTTTGGGAACTAGATTCACCTATTGCACTGTTTCCAGAGCACTGTTCCTCAGGGCTTCTCAATGCCCATTACCCTCCAGACTGTACTAGTGGAGCTAGGAAGTCCTTGCCTTAGCTGGTTTCTAGTCGCTGGTGGTGAACAGAGGCTTTTCTTCCAGAATGTTCAAATGAATTCCTCCACTCTCAGAGAACAGGGTGAAGTTAGGGACCCCCCTATTCAGATCCCTGGGTGTTTTTTTCTCATATGTTGGTAGGAGCAGCACTGGTCTACGTGGGAGCCTACTCGTAATAATAATTCAGATTTGACACTCTGCTGTTAGGTTGAGATGTGCATGGTTCTGCTTTTTGATCAGTATCTGGTCAGTACATTGTTCATGGAAGGGAGTCCATTATCTCCTTGTAATTTGAATGTGAAATGGTCCCATCCTGGGTCTTTGGTTGAGCACGTTTGTTCAACATCCTCCCCATAATTACAGGGGCAGGTGGAATGCTCCTTACCCACTTGGTTAGGGAGTGAGGATGAATGTTCATAATTCCAGACCAGATGACTTCTGTTCCTTTGGTTGAATACGGCATACACAATTCTGTCATTCCAAGCCTAGGGTGTTGCATTTCAGGCTTCTTCAGGTGGAAGAGAAGATTTGTCAGCTTCAGTGTTGCTTACTTACTCGTCGTGATTACAGTGATTTGGAATGTATGGCTACAGGTTGGGATTCAATCAATAGTATATATACGTAACGTTGGAGTCCAAGTGCCCTAGTCACCAACGTGGGATATAAGGACCAAACCCCTTAATTCCAACCCTGAGTAGTGGAACCTCAGCTATCTGGTTGGGGCTGGTCTATAGTGATGATCACTCATGTACAATTCCACCCTTGATACAGGAACTAAGTTTAGGGTGAAGAACATACCCGTTTGGGATGTAGTGTGGTTCTCCCAACTTGGGTACCTGTCTTATCTTGGTACACCCGTGATCTGTGCAAATGTTTTCTGTATGGATAATGCCCTTCACCAGCCCCTCCACCTTCTCAATGTTGGATTCTAGCTATAAGTGTCAGTGGAGGTATGTTTCGGAAGTTGAAATTTTCCAAAATTGAAAATGTATTTCCAATAACACCTTCACTGACACTCTCCTGCCCTTCTTCCCCACTAAAAGCCAGTGTTAGAGACTGGGGTGTTGTCAGTCTTGAAGAAGTGATAAAATTATCTAAATGAGGTGCTTATTTATAGTACCAGGATAGAGGGCGCATTGATATAGGTGGATAATATCACGAGACAATTATTGTCAAGGGCAATTGAGTGGGGTATAAAAAACTGGATCAAGTGAGAAAAAATCAGACCAATGCTTAGACGGACAAAGAAGAAACCCTGACAGTCAAGTAATAGCTATAAGTGTCAGCAGAGGTAAGTATTATTGGAAATACATTTTCAATTTAGGAAAATGTTAACTGTCAGAAAGATTATAGAGTCAGGGTTATATAATTGGTTGAACTGACATAGAATGATCCAGACTTTTCTTTCCACATGATACATATTTGTTTGAATACAGAAACATGGAAGTGACAATAGGAAGTGACAAATTCTGTATGACATGCACCAAAGTTTATATCTGAAATATCGTAATAAATAATTATTTAAATTAATCAATAAATAGAGCTTTACAAAATGAAGAAACTGCAAGCAGGAGGAATGAAACGTAAACCTAGTTAAAGGATGTCTAAAAATGTATCCTAAATGTTGAAAATCTCTTAGAAGTGTTAGATTGGCATAATATAAGCTACAAACTTTTTTGTGATACAATGTTAGGTACTTTGAAGTTTTGCAAACATTCTCAGGGTAATTACTGATGGTTAATGTTAAGTATGAGATATTTTATTTGTGAATAAAAATCATTTGGATATAAAATATTTTCAGGAACAACAGCGCTGAGCAATTCATTTGGTTTTAAAAATCTAGTATGCCTATCATTATGAAATTACCTAGATACAATATTTAGATCCTAAATATTACATATTTGATTTAAACTTTGGTTTACACATATTGTGTTTCCTGGTGTTCTATTGAACACTCATTATGCCATATAAAATTATTTAGCATATATTGCTAAATGTATCCAAAAAGTATAGTTTTATAGCATTTTTATACCTATTTTCATGGTGTTTCAAAACTATTCATCTGTTTATTCTTACTATAATAGAGTAAGCGTGTATATATGTATATATCTATGTATGCACCAGAAATAATAAATATAATGTGGCACCATCTATTGAATTGGCACCACAAACAAAAGTCCTTGAAAAAATTTCTTTCTGTGGTTTTTCAAGATTCAGGCAA